ATATAACACTAACACACCCCTCGCGCCGCGGCGCCCTGCGCTCGGCCAGAATTTAATTTTTTTCGTTTTTCTCATTTTTGCTCAGTTTTTCGAACCCTATATCCTGACTTGTTCCCTGACCTTAGGATCATTCCCCAAACTTGTTTATTCCAGATTTTCACCCTAGAACACCATCTTTCATCTTTGTTTTTTACTTGAATTTCCTTTTTATTTTCACGAATTATCTTGTATCTCGGATTCAACTCTCAATCTCGTTTTAATCGTAAGTTTTCTCTTCATTTCATTGATGAATATGATTGCTTGGGTTAATTTGATTGATTGTGTTAAATCCAATATGAGTAGCTAATTCGATTTGTTAGGGATAGGGTATGATATTTTGAATTCGATTGTGATTATCGTGCTTGATGATTATTCAATTTATGCGAGTTGATTTTAATTAGGGTTTTCAATTATCATGCTTGAGTGTTGAATATTATTGAAGAGTGACACTTCAATTTACAATTGATTCGCAATTGAATATGATTCATTCTCGTGTGATGTTTTCAATTCTAAAAGATTAGTCGGTTAACCACCTTCTAGTCTAATTTAACCGACTCTTAGAAGCGAAAGGGGAGGAGTTGATCGATCTAGGCTCGTATTAAGTAGGCTTGTTCATAATTGTATTGCCTATGTGTTAAACGACTCGTTAATTTGCCGTTCATGTTATTCTCTTATTGCAAAAAGCTATTGATGATGAATATCTGAACGAGTAGGTTATTTGAATCCTTTAATCGAATGATCACTTGCACGTTAATTGCATTTTGAACCAAAACAAATATCCCCAACTCCCGAGCTTCCTTATCATTGTCTGATTCGTGTTCTTCAGTTGATCTCAACTTTTGCATTTCCTATCATTTCTTAGTTGATAGTTCAATCCTCAATCGTGATTAAAGTGTTTAAGATTTATTTTGCTTTTGTGTGCTATCAACACTGAATCTAGATTCCGAACCGCCTTCCTCGAGAGATCGACTCGAGGTCAAGAGTCATCCCGTACTCAGTAAAAATATAATTTGCTACAACACTATACTTTATAACGCAACTTGTTTTGCACTTGCTCAATGAACTTCGCCTGTTTGTCGCATAGTTAATTACATAAGTAATTCGCACTTTCTATATTAACTTCGCCTCTCTGTTGCATGCTTTATTGCATAATTTATTCGCACTTTACTCAATGAACTTCTCTTGTATGTCGCATATCATATCGTATAAATATTTTGTAGTTTTTAAATTTTCTTACATGTCCGTCGCATAGTTATTGCCTAATATTTTTGCATTTTATCAACTATGTTCGCCTGCTTATCGCATAGGTTATCGTATAACTATTCCAAACTTTATCAATTATCTTCGCTTGCCTATTGCATAGATTTTTGCATAAATTACCTTCGTCTGATTATCGCGTAACTGTTTCACACTTTATAAATTAAGTTCACCTGTTTGTCGCATAATATTTCCGCGCTCTATCAATTATTTTCACCTGTCTTTCGCATAACTTTTTGCATAAACAATTTTGCACTATCAATTATCTTTGCCTATCTGTCCCATATCTTTTCACATAACTATTTTTTAACTTTATCAATTGTTTTCGCTTATCCGTCGTATAGTTTTTTGCATAAATTGTCTTTCTCTGATTGTCGCATAGTTTGTCGTATAACTATTTTGCACTTTGTAAATTTTCTTTGCTTGGTTGCATAATGTATCTCATAATGTTTTCGCTCTATATCAATTATCTCGCTTGTCTCTCGCATAAATACTTCGCATTCTATCAGTTATCTTCGATTATCTGTCGCATAACTATTTCGCATATTATCAATTATCTTTGCCTTTCTGTCGCATATTGTTTACATAAATATTTTCGCACTTTATCATTTATTTTTGTCTGTCTATCGCATATCATTTCGCATAAATATTTCGCACTTTATCAATTGTTTTCGTCTGTATGTTGTATAACTTTTTTTTTGTGTGTTGCTTAACTTTTCATATTTTCGCACTTTATCAATTGTCTTCGCCTGCCTGTCGCATATCGTCTCGCATAAATATTTCGCACACTTATCAATTATCTTCGACTATCTGTCGCAGATCTTTTTGCATAAGGTTTTCGCACTTTATTTATTATCGTCACCTACTTGTCGCATCAATTATCTTCGCCTGTCTGTCACATATTTTATTGCACTTTATCAATTATGTTTGCCTGCTTGTCGCATAGTTTAACACATAAATATTTCGCACTTCATCAATTATCTTCGTCTTTGTTGTGTCGCATAGTTTTCACATAATTGTTTCGCACTTTATCAATTATGTTCGCCTGCTTCTCTCATAGTTTATCGAATAACCGTTTCACACTTTATCAATTATCTTCGTTTGTATGTCGCATAGCGTATCACACAATTATTTCAAACTTTATTATTTATCTTCGCCTGTTTACCGATAGCTTATCGTATAATTTGTTTTCGCATTTAGTGCGATGAAAAAGTTAATTTTTTATTCAACGGTGTGTAAAATTTATTCTTTCTTCAGAGCAGGGTGAAAATAGTTATTTTCGCTTAATTTTGAAGGTATTGTACCCAGCAAAATGCGGGTTGCTCATAGCCTCCAAAGTGACACTTGTCACTCAAGACATCATAGTGAAATGTTCCCCCAAATTAGGTGTAGAAAAATTACACCAATTTTTAATTTTGTTTAGTAAGCCACAAATAGGCAGTGGCGGATGCAAATAGGGGCCTGTAGGGGCACAGACCCTATAGAGTTAAAAAAAAAAATACTTCTATTATATAGAAATTAGATAAAAATAAATTAGTAGTTCTTTTATACAAATTTGTGCCTATGTTATTTATTAGAAATATTGATTTTAGTAGTCTATTTATTTTTCTCTAAATTCCAAACATTATAATAGAGTTTTATTTATAAAAAATAACTACTCCATGTAAAAAAAATCTAAAAAGTAATCCTTTCACAATAATGTCTTGAAAAAAAATAATTATTAACCCAACTATGATTTCTATTTATCCGTTTTTGCACCTATCAACTTTATAATTCATTTTGTAGTTCTTGTAAACCTATATCTGTATAAAGGGGTTTTAAGAATTGATGTGATACCACTTTAGAGCTTTCATAATTTTGATAAAAAGTCATGTTCTTAATTAAAATATCTAAACGGTTTGTTTTAAAATTGATGCATACTTTATATAGGTGTTTTCAATTTTTAGTCATAAAATTTTAAACAAGCAATCAAATTATTGTACATATTGATTACTAATTAATATGACTTTTATGTATTCATTGTGAAGAAACATTATAAACAGCACCCCACATATAGACGGTAAAAGATATAAGATAAAAATAATGATAATTTTGACGGTGGAGAAAGATTAATTTGATAATATTGAAAATAATATAATTATTAAACGATGCAAAATATAAAAATATATAGAAAACGATTTTAAAATAATATTATGTTACTTTTTTGGTATTTCGTAAAAGTTACATTGTGCCTCCTTAGCTTTGCAAGGCTACGTCTGCCCCTGCAAATAGGGCAAACTTTAATTTAGGTTTTAGGAAGCCACAAATAGGGCAACTTTTGCCTACAATATTTTACTCCTAGAATATATACAAAATAATAAATAAATCAATATATATATATAATAAGAATTACTATTTACTAAAAATAGTAAGCAAAAAAATATGAAAATATTAATTACATTCTATTTTTAAAATGTTTTTTTTTATTTTTAAATAAAAAATAATACCGCATTTAATGCTACCACAAATCATGAAATTTGTTATATTTAAATTTCAAAGATTGAAATAAAAAAAATCATCTCTATCTTAGTAACAAAACTATAATAATATATGATATAACAAGGACAACACGTTAGATTAGAGAATAATTTGAGTATTTGTTGGCAGATAAAGCAAGATTAACAAGATTAAAATCAATTATCTAATTAATTAGTATATGATTAATGAAGATAAATGATTATTCATTTTTTTAATTAGATTTATGAAGAAAAATTTAAATTTTTGCCAATAAGATTGTGAATGGATATCAAACAATATTACTACAAACCTAACAATTAAAATAGTATTATTACACATATGATATTTTATTTTTCAACCATTTTATATAATATTTTATTATTTATATTTTTATTATATAGTTTTTCATTCATACTTAATGCGTTAGCATTTGCGAGATATACACAAGTTCGTATAATATATTTCCGTGAAATAGGTAAAAAAAAAAAATAAGAACATAAATGGATGGATCGATACAAAATATGATAAAAGAGATATAATCAAAATCATTTGACATGCGATACATTACATATAGACAATGTTGATAGTAACAATATAAAATTGGTATACAAGACGTATAGACAATATCTACTATGTAAATATTATCTCATAAAATTCAACTTGAGATATTAGATTGTAATATTATTATTTTACTCAGATAATATTTAGATACTTTTTAGATTTTTTTATTTTTTATTTTTTATTATTATTATTGTTTTTTGCCTATTCTATACATTAAAGTTTATATCTTTAGGTGCTTTTAGACATTTTGTCTTTACAAAATAGTTTAGTGAAAGTGTAGGTGACTTAACATTTTTTAAGAATAATGTAGAATATTTTAGATATCTTTACATATGTTATTTTAGGTAATTTTAATACTTTAAACATACATGTTTTGTGTTCTTTTGTACATGATAATTTCAACAAACCGATATACGTAAATTATATCATATTTTAATCTCAAATATTTAATTTATTATTATTATTATAATTTAGTGCTATTTATATATATATATTTTTAATTTATAATTATTATTTAATATTATTTTCTCGTTCATCGCACGGACTACGCACTAGTGTACCATTAAATAAATACATTAAATAAATGCAAGTTATGTGTTTGTATATATTGCGGGAATTTAAATGTAGTGTTTTATGATTTTCCCTTTCCTTCTTTTATCTGTTACACGACTGCTCGTAGGTCTATTTTCCCCAAAACTCGAGAACATTTCCCCTCTTTCCCTCCACAATATTCATGGGAACTTAAGAACTTCTTAGTTTAGAAATCAGTCTGCATTTTTCTTTCGTCGTCGTTGCCAGTCTCAAATTGTTATCGATTTGTTTGGAGGGTTTTTGGCTTTTGGCCATTGGTTTAAGGGTTTTCAATTTTGATTTTGATTTTAGCAACATCTTCTTCGCATAGTGTATTCTCAGACTGCGTTAATCTCAAAATGGTTTAGAAAATAGCGTGTCTCATCTCACTATTCAAACGTTATTTACTAAAAAAGGATATCCATCTCCATAAAAGGTTGTTCTGATTCTTACTTTTTTATTTTATCGAGCCTTGATGCTTAACTTCGGCTATTTCTTTTTCGAATAACAATATTAGATGTTGTTCTTGAATAAATGTGAACCTGTAAATAGTTTATTTGAAAAGTATGTGTCAATCTAGTTCAAATTTGTGACTTGCGATGCTCTGTATTTGCAAATTTATGTCCTGTTAATTTATTTCTGCAGTGTTTGTTTTGTGGTTGCAGCCATACTAATGGTTGAAGTCAAGAGCCGAGGCAGTCGCAACTCCAAAGTAAGCAAAGGTTTCAAAACTTTAACATCATTGTTGTATGTCATTTCTCTCTAGGAAAAGACAGTTTTTTCCCATAGCTTTTATTATCTTGTCCGTAGGACAAGTGATAGTTTGATCTTAATGAATCCATGTAACTTAAAGCAGCAAGTTGGATGACAATAGTGTGTGTCAAGCATAGGTTTTGCCAAATCTGAACCTGCTCAAGTAGTGGATCTTAGGCACACCCCCTTTTTTGTATTGGAACCAAAGCCATGTTTGTATATTAAAATAGTTTTGCATAAATTGATAGAAAAAAATTAATGCGGATATTTTTGGTAAGTTGTCTGAATTTTCATGTTTGGAAACAAAAATATATTTGGTAAGTTGTGTAGATAACCATTTTTTATGTAGATTTGCATGAATTTAGTGAAAAGTTTGATAATAGTTCTTAAAATGTATTTTCCATATAAATTTGGCAATTGTGATGGAAAATTTTTAAGCCTGTTTGGCTAGGCCCAGTATCTTGCTTGTAAGAGCTTGAAATTTGATGGTGACCAATTGATGTTAAAATGGATTGAATTGCACTTATCCATGGACGTGCTTGCCTCGGGGTAGATTTGAGAAAACTTACACCTGGGGAGTGTCTTAGGGTAAGTGTGGAATAGCGTGATAGATAAGATAGGTGTTGCTTCTGTAGGACAGTCCTCAGTTACGGTGGGATCACCACTATCTGTTTAATTTTCAATTTCCATGAAAAAGTGAATTTGAAAATGTCCTAGCTTCCAGTTTCATTTTTCTAAAATAGTCGAAAATTCACATAATTGGTTTGTGAGTGACCTGATACGCTGCCAAAGGTTCTTGTTGATGTGCCAAGGGCTTACGTGGATTTCAAACCTTTCTATATAAAGCCTGGCTAGGCAATGCAGGCCGAGTAAATCCCATTTCCCCAAAAAACAATCGATAGCCGCAAGCCCTTATTCTTGACTGAAGATCTACTATTTCAAATCTTTTCCGTTTGGTGCTTTCAATTAAGTTTGAATTCTTGTCGATCGGCAATTCAGTGAACTGTATGTTGCACGACTATAACTGCAATTTACTGGAGATATACATGCAAAACAAGTTAATTTGATGTTTATAAAATCCGAAAAATCAAACCCTTAATTTCTTTCCTTTCTGATTATTTATGTTTCTTCATTTTGTGTTTGAGTCTCTTTACATGGTTTGAAATACAGGTTCGCGTGTACATTCGTTGTTGTTACTGTCGTCAATTAAGACTATGTAGATCTTGAAATTCAGAATCAAGAAAATGATAGATTGCCAGATCCCATGATGTTTGTGGTTTTTTTTGTCCTCCTGTTGCAGATCTGGGTTTTCTAATGGCATATGATGTTAGATATTAGGACTGCATATAATTACTTTTTGTTTCCATTTCTTCCCCCTTCTCATTTTGTTTAATGTTTTTTTGTTATTTTATTTCAAGGACATGGATCCGGGAGAAATAGAGCTACCCTCCATTAAACCTGGTCTGAAGAGAGAGTATAACATGATGATGAAGGCTCAGGGGAAATTGATTAGGCCTTCAAGAGAAGGCTGGAGAGTGACCAGGTCGCAAAGTGCCAGTGGTTCGAGGCAAGGAAACGTAAAGAGTGGTGGTAAGATCAATGGGAAAGTAAAGGAACCTAAGAAATTGAAAAAAGATAATGAAGGACCAGAAGAGGAGGATGTGGATAAGTTGGAGAACATTGATGTCCCAGGTAGTAACAAAGGAAGGCCTAAGGAGGATGTAGTACAGGTAGTGTCTGATACAGGACGTGAATCGGTAAATTTGGAGCTGGAATTCATTGCTGTAGATGAGACCGAGACACAGAAACTGCAGCTCAATTCTAGGGAAGAAGAGAACGAGAAGATATTGGAGAATGGTGAGAATTTGGCTAGTGAAGAAGGGTCAAAGGGGGATGTAGTGCAGGCACAGTCTAATTTAGGATATGATTCAAGAAGTTTAGAGGCAGATTTTGATGCTGTGGGCAGAAGTGAGGCAGAGAAGAAAGTGGGGGCTGATTCTAAGAAAGCTGTGGGCCCCCAACTCTTGTGCACAGAATCACTATTGTCTTTGGGTGGGGTTAGTGATATATATTTTACTCATGAAGGGAAAAGAAGAAATGTAGGAGCTTCGGATTTAGGACGTGAGGTAACTGGAGAGGCTGCAAGCTGGATGGGAGGGAAGCCACTGTGGAGGTACACTCGGGCTCCGAAACAGGGACATGAGGAGTCCTTTCTTGAGGCTCTAACTAGAGAGAGTAGAAGTGCAGTAAATTCTACCGATGGCCCTTGTAAACGCGAAATAAAGATGTCAAAGAAGGTTGTGCTGAAGAGGGTACCTTTAAGGTTAAAGGATCTTCTAGAAACTGGACTCTTGGAGGGTCTCCGCGTTAGATACATCCATATATCGAAGGTTGGGAATTTGTTCATTGTTTTGACTTCGTTTCCATTTTTTTTTTTATAATTTTGTTTTTTCATTTTTTTCCGGAAATCTGCAGAGGAGGAGACAGCCAGACACAATACTTGAGGGAGTTATTAAAGCAACAGGAATATTGTGCTCCTGTGGTGAATGCAATTGGAGAGAGGTATATGATATGAACTTTACGACTGATTATCAGTTCCTTTTTCTGTAGTTCTATGTACTTACCCTTGGCTTTTGTTGATGTAGGTAGTGACTCCTAATGTGTTTGAGATGCATGCTAAAAGTGGGAATAAGCGTCCACCAGAATATATATATTTGGAAAATGGGAAGAGTTTGAGAGATGTTCTGGATGCATGCAAGGCCAATCAGTCAGAATCGTTGGCATTGGTGATCCAGAACGCCATTGGTCGTTTGGGTTTTACCACTGCTCTCTGTATCAACTGTAAAGGTGGCATTCCTGATAAATGTTTTGATGAATCATGTGTTACACAGTGTGTTGCAATGGATTTTAAACATTTTTCCAATGTTGTTTTCGGGGTTATGTTTCCAGGTTTGATACCTGAAGCTGGTGCGGGCAGACCAATGCTTCTTTGTGATTCTTGTGTTTTACCTAAGGATTCTGATCCCGGCCTCAATCAGAGCAGTGAAGCCACCCATAAGTAATGTAGCTAGTGATGTTGGCTTTATACCATGAAAGTGACTTTGATTTAATGCATGTTTCTTTTATATGTAATAGCCTACACATCATTGCATGCAACCATAATATTTATTTTGCTGTTCAGAGGTAACCATATTAGCTAGCATATTTTAATAACTGGGGACTTGAGAAAACTTCTTTATTTTCCCAATAAAAAATTATCTCAGAAATAATGATGCAAAATAAGCGATAGTAATAATAGGTAAGGAACACAGACCAAATCGGTTTATTCCCTAAGTTATTTGGAATTCAAATTCTGCACAGAGACGTATTCTATAGGTCAATTTTTTCTCAACTAATATATATTACTTATGTTTGTGTGTCGTAGTGGAGAAAAGAATTGACATGTAGAATGAGTTCAAAATAAAACATTTGGGTACTCGGATATCAGTATAGGGTTTTTCATTCAGGATTGTGGTATAAATATTATTTGAACAACAAAATAAGACATCTTTCGTGATAACAAATTGCATTGAGGAAATGAATTGTAGACGTGTACACCCAGTTTGTTTCCGTTACATCTTCTAGTTAAGCTTTTAATTTCTCTCTATTGATCGAATAGGCAAATAAATAAAGGCAGTCACTTGGAATTTTTACGAAAGGCAGAACTTTGATTTAATGAAATACTCAAGACTCATAGGTTATTGAACATTTATTGAAGTTTTTCTATTTTGTCTGTAGTTGTTTGGATTCAATGCACTCTATCTATCCTGTTAAAATTTTCTTTATCTTTCTCTGACGTGCACTTGCTGAAGTGGCCTGGTAAATGGTCATTTTAGGTCCCCGTTGGCTGGGCCATCACCACTGATATCCTCTGGTTGCCTGCCTCAAGTTCCCGAAAGTGCTCAAATTTCTTCAAATTATCAACCTCAAAGGAAACGTCAAGGGAAGCTGACGCGGAAGTGAGTACTCTTCATTTACAATTGTGGGATTCATATTTCAACCGAACTTGTTTTAGCTGTATATATCATGAACATTATTTTGTTTTGGCCCTTTTCCAGGGATTTGAGAATGCATAAATCTGTCTTAGCGGAAGATCTGCTTCCTGATGGTACTCCTTTGTCGTATGTTATGCATGGAAAGGTGAATGCAAATCATTTCTCTGTTTTGTGCATCTCCTGCTGTTAAATAGTTTCTAGGAATTGCTTTTGAAGATGGTGAATGATTTGGTTGGTAACACTCATTGCATGATTGCCATGGAGCAGAGAAGGCTGAGAGGTTATAAGAAAGATGGTTCTATCTTCTGCACGTGCTGCAATGGATTGGTATGGGATTGTGGCTATGGTTATTTTCATTTTAATTTCTCTGATATACCCACAAGTTGTATATGAAATTATGACTTGTCATTAATGAGCAGGTGAGCCCCTCGCAGTTCGAGGCTCATGCTGGATTCCCTTCTCGTCGAAAGCCGTGAGTGTTTCTTGGTCTTTCGTTACTATTCATTTTCATGATTTTTTTTCCTTACATTTTAGGAATTTGTATTCTATCAACCACATAAACATAATCCTTTTGCCTTGGCCAATATGAGTAAAACTTCAGTCCATGAGCTGGAGACTTCGGAACATTTACTCGAAAGAGTTTTACAAGCATATTTGCTGTTTCATTTCATTTGACTTAGATTGCTGGTTCTTGCAGGTACATGAGCATATACACTTTCAACGGAGTGTCTCTTCATCAGCTATCCCTTGAACTATCCAAAAATGGTAAACCGTCTTCAGGGGAAAATGATGATCTCTGTTCTATTTGTGAGGATGGAGGGAATCTGTTATGCTGTAACAAATGTCCGCGTGCTTTTCACCCTGGTGAGAACATTGTCATGTTGTTGAACTTGTTATAGGATATTATATTTTGATAGAATCAGAGCAATTACAGTTGTATGATTGCTTTTATGCCAATGAAACATAATAGCATATGCTGCTTATGTATCCTCATTACAAGTTAGGATCCCTTGTTGTTCTTAGGGCTCTGTCCACGAAATACTCACCTCTACTCAGTCTGTACATTTTATTTCTATTTCTATTTTCTTAGATTTACTCTGTTTATGAACCCAACATGTTGCTTGATACTATTACCTTTATTGTTAGTATTATATCCTCTACCTCACTTCTTACATTGCTTATCTTTTGCTCTGTTTGACTCCTCTTGCAGTATGTGTTGGCCTGTTGAGCCTCCCAGAAGGAACATGGTACTGCAAATATTGCAAGAACATGTTTGAAAGGGAAAAGTTCGCTGAGCTGAACGCCAATGCCATCGCAGCTGGCAGAGTGCCTGGAGCCGACGCTCTTGCAGAAATAACTCAGCGATGTATTCGTATAGTGCCAACATTTGAAGCAGACATAGGTGGATGTGCCATATGCAGGTATGTGAAAGTCAACATCTTTCTTCAATATCGTGCATCAATGTATATATTTGGGTTTCAGTTGAACCTGTGGCTGTTCTTTATGGATCTTTTTGTCAGTGCCTGTATATTCCCCTTCAGTGGATAAATCAATAAAGCAGATAAAACATGTTTTGGCAGGGCAGATTTGCTGAGTGAGTGGATATCGTTAACGTAAACTCAGTCATGTCAATTTGTGTTCTCAATTGCTTTGTGGTGTATCACGAATACAATTTTCTTTTCACTTCCCTCATTTTCTGTTCACTTAGTGTCTTTTAATTTTTATTTTTATTTTTATCATTTTTTTTTGTGTTTGTAACTGTGTTGCAGGGGCCACGACTTTAGCAATTCAGAGTTTAGTGACCGCACAGTTATTATCTGTGATCAGGTAGTAATGTTCTCATTTATTTCCTGAAACAGTTTTGATGCTTAGTTTTCTGTTTCTGATATAATGCACAATATTTAAGGTCTGAATTTGTTTTGTTACTTATTTATTTTGTAGTGCGAGAAAGAATATCATATCAGCTGCCTGAAGGAGCAGGGGATAGCTAACTTGGAAGTACGCTATTTTTCTAACTACGTTTATGGTTATATTCAGAACTAAAAAAATGGCTTAAATCCCTCTTCTGAACTAATTATATGGCCGTGCTAACTTCAGGAGTTGCCGGAAGGTGAGTGGTTTTGTTCTGAACAGTGCATCACTATCCATGTGGCCCTTGAGAATTTTATTGGTGCTGGGGAGCAGAGTCTTCCGGAAGATCTTTTAAATATTTTGAGAGGGAAAATTTACGCCCAAAGTCCTCCACAAGATATTGACGCCCAAAGTCCACCACAAGATCCTGAGCCTGCGATCCGGTGGAGGCTTCTGAATGGAAAAAAAGCTTCTGAGGACGCAAGAGTGTGGCTCTCTGGTGCTGTTTCTATATTCCATGTCAGTCTCGCCCTTCTTTGAAATGTTCTATACTGCTATTAGCCTTGTTTGCAACTATGTGCATGGAAACTTATTGATAACATAAACAGTAAAGTTCTCTCCACCTCACCAAATTTGCCAGCTGAGCAAACAAAATTACTCCGGCTACCGGCTACGAGTTCAGAAATTTTTGCACCAAATTACATTTTACTTCGTATCAACTTCATTAGTACATGCCATGGAGAAAATTATCTGAGTTCTTTCTCCTCTCTTTCGAGGATTAGCGGCGCTTGATAAGTTCTTAGTTACATCTGTTACTTAAGTGGTTCTCCAGGGAAATATGTTGGTCTAGCAGAAAGCATTAGAGGATTTCAATTGATCCTTTCAGGAGAATTAGATGGTCTTCCTGAACAGGCCTTTTATTTGGTAGGTAATATCAATGAAGCTACCACAAAAGCTATGAACTTAGAAATGGAGAGCAGATTGAAGAAATCACCTTAAATCTTTGTGTACTCACCCCTAATCGAATTGTTTGAGATTCAGAAGTGAAAGAAATCATTTTATCTACAAATAGTGGTCAAATTGGTGTATTACCAAACCATGCTCCTATTGCTGCAGCTGTAGATATAGGGATTTTGAGAATACGACTTAAAGACCAATGGTCAACACTGGCCCTAATGGGTGGTTTTGCTAGAATAGGCAATAATGAGATCACTGTTTTTGTAAATGATACGGAAAAGGGATTTTGATTTCTTTTGACCAAATTTGTTCAGGACCGGTTTGATCCTATTGCTGATTCAAGCACTGGACGTCTTGACCTCATCCCCCACATGGTTTACGGGTAATACATTCGGTTGCATTTACATGCATTCTTTATGTTTCTGTTCTCTTTTTACTTGGCCTCAGCTTGTTGCTAATTGATCTGCAGGAGGGCTTTCAAGGACCAGGATTTTTGTGGCATGTATTGTGCCACGTTGTTTGTTGGGTACGCCCACGAATATTCACTACAGCATTATTATTATTACTATTATTTTTTTTTTTTTTTTGGTATTGCATAGATATATATATATTTTAGTTTGACCTTTGCTATACATATTATTAACAGCTCGGTTGTGGTATCTGCTGGGATTGTCCGTATATTTGGTGAGGAAGTTGCAGAGCTTCCTCTTGTGGCAACAAAGACCGAGTGTCAAGGAAAGGTGGGCCCCACTCAACTAGAAACTGATTGGACTGGTCTCATGTACCTTTCTTTTTATGCCAAGATTTAGGATACAATTTGTTAGATTTTCATTTTTAATTTTGGGTTGATGGTATGTTTTATAAATCATTTCTCCTTTTGCAGGGCTATTTTCAATCTCTATATTTCTGCATTGAGAGGCTTTTGGCATCGCTCGGTGTGAAAGATTTGGTGCTCGCTGCTGCTGATGAGGCAGAATCTTTGTGGAAGAACAGATTTGGGTTTGAAAAACTCGGCGAAGAAGAGGTTGGTACTCTCTGTGTGTGTCCCTTTTCTTTTATGTAACTACTAATTTCGCATGTCTTGGGTACACTTCCACACAGAATAATTGTTAACAATTGTGTCGTTTTTTCTTTTTCCTGTTCTTCCCTTTTTCTGCGAGCAGTTGGAAGAGTACCAGAAGAAGTACCAAATGATGATATTCCAGGGAACATCCGTTCTTCATAAGGCTATCACAAATGCGTGAAACAGTTACCTGTGTTCGTTGTTGGTGGATTCATGTACAAAAAACGAATGGTTTTTTTTTGTGGAAAACTTAAAATTACATTCTTTGTTATTGGATTTTGTCCATATTCATAGAATGTACATTCTCTAGGTATCTATACCTCCAGGTCCCTAGATCCAATGTCTTTTTGTCGTCAGGTAATGGTCTGAGTTGGGATTAGTCTGGGCGATTGGAACTATTTCTCCATGTTTGGAGATTATTTTTTGCTCTTCCTTTAAAACTGGAATTCCATTTGCTTTTTTCATTGCCAATGTTTTTTTAGCAATCCTTGGTCTTAGCTTTTTTTATAATCTGGTTGCGTAATTTAATTTCTGGTCATGCTATGCAAGGTTCTCGTGGATATCAATTGACGAGCTGAGCTAATTAACAAGTTACGCATTGTTCTAAATACTTCGAGTCTTCGAGTGCGTGTAAGATGAATTAAATCATATGTTGAATGTTCAGTTACGTGCTTTACTTCATAATGGAATAAAAGTTGGAAAATCATAGTGTTAATTATACATCATATCCATTTTTTTTTTTTCTTTTCTTTCTTAAACGATAGATTTCAATAAACAAACACATAATTACAATTGGCTAACTAACCGAATACAAAATGACTATATAAGGTAGCCTAAATGCAATAAAACAACACAAAAGACAACTAAAAAATTTTCACTAGTGGAGAATACACTCCCAAAAAAGAGAATAAACGCTCTTAAAAAGGAGATAAAAACACAGACACACACTTACATCACAAGACCACAAAAACTACTATAGTAAACTAAAGTCTTCCCCCACAGCCGGCAAGCACTCTGAAACGCCACAACATTGACCCTGAGAGTAACCACCCAAAACAGGCAGAACCCGGACCAAGACACCGAAAAAGAAACTGCAAAATCACTACGTCTAACTAGAGCCGAGCATCCAGACGAAATCCCTCTACTAGGCAGAACGACTCTCGGACCAGAGCCGAATATCAGCACAAAACACCCACCCCAACCGGCAAACAAGGCTGTCTGGCCACCAGAACCACCGTCCCACACCCAAAGGCTAGCCCCATCTCCCTGCCCCAGAACGACGGTGAAACAGGGGGAAAGGAGAACCAAAAGCCTCAAACCTCATACCCCTTCGCCCACCGGCAGCCTGAACCAAAAGAGTTGGCGCCTCGACCCCTACGCACCGGCGCCCTCCGCCCCACACCAGGCAAGACAGAAAAGCAAGGGGAGACGAGAGGCTAACCTCGGCTCCGAACACCAAGGCAGCAACCTAGCTTGCCGCCAGCCACACCGCCAGACGCCGGGACCACCTCAGGACTACAAGGCAATCTGTGATTGAGGCCAGAGCCGGTCCTAGCCTTTCTTAGGCCCTGGGCTAAATATAAGAAAAATGCTCCTCTTTTTTTGTTAAAAAATAAAAAAAAAATCCCCTCCTTTTCGTTCCATACGATGAAATTTATGATATTTCAAGAATTACTTTGTCTATCCCATACATTGAGTAACTTTGGATGAATTAATAAAAACAATTGCCCCTCATTTTTGTTTATTTCAATGCAACAAGCTAAGGTAAATAAATAAGTTATAAGAAAATTTATATGAACCTAAAACATAAGTATGAACACTATTATTTACAAAATTATATAATTATGTGTAAGTTGAATATTACATTTATATACATCCTTATAATTTTGTGGAGAAAATTAACTCTCCTTTATTTTAATGTAATTTTATTTAATAACAAACTCATATTATTTTACACTTTGTTACTTAATTAAATAATTTTTTATTTAATGAGTTGTAAATTTTTTAGAATAAATAGTGATTATAAATTATAATACATAAACTATAAAGATACACAAAAAATAAAAAAATAATCTAATAGGAATAGAAATAAAGATGAGTTGGTACGTTCTCATCTATTTCAGAAAGTTTTGTTCATTTTAATTGTTAGGCATTTATTTTTTTTTTGTTGCAATTAATGTTTGTGGAAAACCTGCTTATATATTGATTTAAATGTCTTGGGGTTCTTTGGGAAAAAATGGATATGCTATATGTAATTGGGCCCATCATGTATTGGGCTGGACACAATCATCACAATATCAAATTGTCAATACTTATTATTATTATTTGTATTATTAATTGGACAAACAAAGGCCCCAATAATTGTGCCCCTTCGAATTGGGCCCTGGGCCGTCGCCCAGGTCTCCCTGGGCCAGGACCGGCCCTGATTGATGCGAGACCCTTGCTCGACTGAGAAATCTATGACATGACAAGGGACCAGAAGCACGATTGAAAGACGGTCAGCACTGTGGCGCGCTCCGTTGGGAGGAGGCGGCCGGCGAATTCGTAGATTACGGTTTTTTCGCAACAAATTGGGGAAAATGGAAAAGAGGGAGGAGGATGAAAAATAATATCCTTGTTTGATCGAACAAGAGAGAAAAGACGAACTAAACGAAAGCTTTACACAACTAATTGAGTCGGATTGTACACTTCTTTAAGGGTGAATTTGGTTGAAAACTGGCATTAGCTTTATATTATCTTCTTTGGGCTTAAGTGAGTATCCATTTGATTGTATCCCTTCCATAACGGTATTTGGTTGATAATTTGTAGTGGTTGATATCAAGCATACTTAGTTATTATCTTGTTTGGTTCAAAGTATGAAATAATAATCAACATTAAAATAATGTGTTTTCTAATATTGAACTTATTTTGATTATTTTTTACTCTTTCTATTTGACGTTTTATTTTATTTTATTTATTTATTTTTTTAAAAAAAAGAATCAATAGTGGTTCCTTATTTACCCTCTAGATGACTCGAACCCGTGACCTATAGGTCTCAAGTGAAGAGTGCTACCAAAGCTACCTCTTCTCGTCTCGTTCTATTTGACGTTAAGTGACAATTTTTATAGTAAACCAACATAGTAAAAAAATTATCCTAAAAGGAACGTAAAAATTGTAGAAAGAAAATAGTAATGTATAACATATTAAAACAGAGTAAAAATAATCATAAAACATCATCACATTAATAATTCTTTGCTTGCTTTTCTTAAGCATAACACGTTCACAATAAGATAGTTTGCTATATGTACGCAATAGATAAGGGAAAAAATGAAACTAAAATACATACACTAATTTACAACCAACAATCAAGAGAAAAATGACCCCAAAAGAATCAACTAAAGCACTCTTTTTATCCACCATTTTATATGTATTGGTCGAAACAGCTATGGCGTTTGTTATTGCTGCAAGCACTATCATCATTGTTGCATTGTTGCTACGAAATGATAGAGATACTATTAAACCTGAAGGGAACAATGTTTAAATACAACAGGCCACACTAGAAACATAAGCACGCTAAAAGCGGCCTAGAACCTCAACACCCAAACAAAGAAACTAGCCAACTAATAGTAATAACCCTCCTCTGCCCAAAGGCCTAGAAAGTGAAACAAACAACAAAATAGAAGCTAAACTAAACAACCAAATCAAGTCACAGAAGCAGGAACAAACTGAAAAATACCATTAAGCCAGCTGGGAGAATTCCAACCAATCCTTGTGAGCTGCTTTTACTACTAGGTGTGCAGGCAGAAGAACATCTTGAAAGAGGCAAAGATTACAGGTCTTCCAGAGCCACCAAAGTATATAGGTTGTCAGTTGGATTCGAGCTTCGGCTGTCTCAGAAGATTCCCAAGTGCAAATATGGTTCCACCAACAACTGAAAGAAAATGCAGAGGTGTGCAGCCCATCCCATTTAATTGAGGCAATGTCGCATAGCCTAACTGCTCTAGAGCAATGAAATAGAATATGATTCACAGTTTCAAGAGCGTCACCACATATTTTGCAGATTACATCAATATCTAACCCTTTTTTCTTCAAGTTTGTTTTAACAGGTAAAGAACCAGAGATGCATTTCCAGATAAAAAGCTTGACCTTACTAACCACTTTCAGTTTTCAGAGTGTCTGCCTTACATAATAAAGTGACTGACCATTCATAGTACTGCTGCAGGGAAGTTCAAGAGAGAAATTTCTGCTGGGACAAAACAAAGAATAAGTACTAGAGACCGAGAATTCACCTGTTTTGTTAAACTTCCAGTACATCCTATCTTCTTTCCCAGGCTTGAGAGTGTTGATATTAAGTATGGCCTTGCTATCTTCCTTATTAAAAACATGGTTGATCAGCCATGTGTTCCATCTCAGTCCAGAGGCATTTAATAAGTCGTTGAAACTTGGGCTCCTTTTCTGAATCTACTGATTCTTCTGATGGCTGATCTGAGTCGTCGCCCGTCCGTGCTCGCCCTCAGGCGGTTTGGAGCAGCAGCCGCTCGATCTGGTCCACCACTTGATTTGTTGATTGTACGTCATTGTTGATTGAATGTACGCTCTCCTCTAATCGATTGATTTGTTCTTTGTTTGACGTGGAGATACACAATCGATATTCTCAATGAAAGTACCTGTTGATGGGCGTTTCCGATCAACGGTAAAAGAAACAATAATGAAAGTATGAAATGAGAAAAAAACAAGGAAATACGGGTTAATTACGATTTTATTAATTGATTACTAGGTCGGCCTCTCGTACGAAGTTGGCACTTGTGATATCCTTACAAATTCTTACAGAGATTTATTACAAGTTTAGAGAGAGAAAGTAGAGAGAGAGTCTGTTAGTTGGGAATTCAACAACCCAGAAATAAATGAGGTGGGCTTCTATTTATAGTGCTCTTAAATGTAGCACTGTTCAGGTACTGTTCACCGGTCTTGTCGCACAGTGTCTTTGCAGAGCAGTCCTCGCCCCCCTGACAGATATTTAATGCGATTTGAGGTTTTCTTAATCATTGCCTGTCAGACATTTAATGCAAACATGGGGGGCATTTAATGCTGGCAGGCTTTATGTCTTGGCTAGTTGACATAGCCCGGCAGGCTACGACGTCTTGTCCGATCACCAATGATTATTCTCCAAGTGGCATTATTATATTACTATCGAGATTCACGCCTACCTCTGGAGCAACCGCTCTGGAATCTCAGGTCGGCTCCCGAGCTCATTCCATTCTTCCGGCCTTCTGGAATCTCACTTCAGACCGTCACCTATTCGAGGTCGGCACCGGTGCTTGAACGGCACAAATGCCGGGCTCGAGAATTGACCCGTAGAGGTGCGATGGTCAGTTTGACTCGGAATTTAGATCGGCACTTTCGTACCCGACCGGATATCCGGCTAGGCTTTTGGTACCGCCTCTCGTCCGGTTTCTTTGGGGCGAATTCGGATGTCAACATACAGGCCCCCGAGCTCGGGTGGGGTACCTCTAGTATTCCCCATGAGGTCGTCGTCTTGGAACACGTCCGAGTTCACCAGTCCCAATTATTACTCGACAGCGTACGAGCTCGGCGTGCGCATTTAACTTG